GAGATCTGTACACACAGTCACAAACTCCATTATCCAATGAAGTAATATCACAGAAATGTAACTACACTAATTGCTTCAGTGCGAATTTCCACAAGATATTTGGGTGAAAAGCATCCAAGTCAACCAACATCCAAAATACAAATACGATTGATCTGATTTTAGTGTGAAACAAATACACATATTTCTATCCCTTTATTATCGTTTTATATAAAGTTACAAAAAATAAAATATATAATTATGTAGGTAAGTAAGTATAATTGATACTCGTACATCGTTTCATTTAGTCAATAAATGTTGAAAGTATCTTGTTACATGGCAGTAAAGAAGTCTGAACAGAAAATCTTATACATAGAACATCAATAAAACCAAGAAAAAATACACAGGTGAGTTTGACTGACACAAGAATTTCCTACAACGCAAGTTTTTTCTTATGGTCTTGCTAGAAAATAAAAGTATAATAATCAAACATATTTTGGAAATGTAAACATCAGATTATTCATAGTCAGGATAGTAGTAGGGAAAATCACAATGTCATTGTTTCTATAGAAATGGGTTAGCATACCACTTTTTTTATTTGTCGATAGAACCTCAGTAAAATATAGCACCTATGAATTTTTAGAATTTTCACTAGTTAGCAGCTTCCATTTTTAGACTGAATTAAACTACATAGGAAAGGTTTCTGGCTCACAGAGGTTCAATTGGAACAGGTCTCACTGTACGTCACATTTTATTCACCTCTTCTATTAAAAAAGTCAGTGAACTAATAATTGATTGCTCAATCAAGCATGAAACTCTGTCATGTTCCACTGTTTTACTTCTGTTGGACAGTTTGGGTATTTCTGTAAAGCATCATCAATTTGCATAGCGTCAACTAACAGCATCATAGGACGGTATTCCTTCTGTGACCTTTGCCCTCCATCAGCTGGTTTGATCATCTCAAGGGCCAGTAGATGCTCAAAAGCCTGAAAAGTGAATTATATACTGTAAATGCATTGATGCATATTGCAGATACTAGCATCCCTAAAAAAAGTGTCTTTTTTATATTTTTAGTTTTTGCTTCACACTGTTACAATTTCAGAGCTTCATCACAAGTGGGGCATACTATAAAAATTGAAAATTCTGCATAATTTTACTGGTAGTTATAAGAATGGATGGCTACGAGAGTGACTGGTAAAGGATTTAGTAAATGTCCCTGGCCGTATATTCCCCTCTGTCCCAAATTACTGCAGCCGTGTAATTCTAAACAAGAGCAAATACTCGTACATTTTCCACAATAGACCTTAAGCCGATTATCCAACAAGTGGGAACATGCGGAATGAACCTGAGATGACAGTCATATATCCATTTTGAATATTCTCATATGAATTACATATTCATTTGTTTCATACAGACTATATCAGATTCCTGCAGGTAATACAGTAACATACACATGGGATATGTTTTAAAGCATCAGGTTGGTCATTTCATATCAAAACAGCATGCAAGGTAAAGGTGCAGACATGAGTACCATTGTGTTGTCATTTCAATGAAACCTGTCTCTATAATTATGAGGTCACAGCAGCACTTTGTAATGATCTAACAGCAGGGTCTATGAGATGACTGAATAGCCTATCAGATTATATTGACTTTACCTTCAAAACAACAGCTTTTTCATAACATTGTACAGAATGTCCTCTTCTTTGAATAAATTTCTGATATTCTGAAAGAATATTCAAGGAAGCTTATATATAACATAACCATGATGCATATTAATGTTGCAGTAGTGATATTTAGTGAGAAATATCACTGTGGCATAATATGAATGAAAAACATCACCAGTCTATAAAGTGTGCTCAAACATGACAAACAATACCAGTCTAAGTGTGCTCAAACATGATAAACAATACCAGTCTAAGTGTGCTCAAACATGATAAACAATACCAGTCTAAGTGTGCTCAAACATGACAAACAATACCAGTCTAAGTGTGCTCAAACATGATAAACAATACCAGTCTAAGTGTGCTCAAACATGATAAACAATACCAGTCTAAGTGTGCTCAAACATGATAAACAATACCAGTCTAAGTGTGCTCAAACATGATAAACAATACCAGTCTAAGTGTGCTCAAACATGACAAACAATACCAGTCTAAGTGTGCTCAAACATGATAAACAATACCAGTCTAAGTGTGCTCAAACATGATAAACAATACCAGTCTAAGTGTGCTCAAACATGACAAACAATACCAGTCTAAGTGTGCTCAAACATGATAAACAATACCAGTCTAAGTGTGCTCAAACATGATAAACAATACCAGTCTAAGGGTGCTCAAACAGTACAGGGGAAAATGATGCAATAGTAAAATCCCTTGGTGGTCATAAATGCAAATGCACGTTCAAGGTCCTCCTTAAATATCACATCTAATTAGCAGTTAGTTCTGTAAAATAATGATTTCTCTGTCTTTTCACTATCAGTGGTGGTCATGTGATAATAAAGTTATTAGCTGATATCACTCATTGGTAGAGCTAGTTAACCTTCGGTTAGTGAATGATGCTAGCCTGTGATGTAACTCATATCAAACAACTTTACGAACAAGTGATATGAAACCCATATAATCAGAATTTGCATTGGAAATTTGTGAATATTTCAATATGCAATTCTTGTGCTAAATATACTTCTAGTACGCAGTTGTTTGGCATTTAAAATGGCGGCAAACATTATCTATACATGAAAATATCTGTATAGCCAATAAAACCTGAATATAATAGCATCACATCCAAACAACTAAAGGTGACATGTTATCAATAATATGAGGTTATTACTGAGATACTGAAAAGTATGCACAAAGACAGTACAGCGGGAGTATCGACTGACGTGCAGCGAGGTCCGAGTGCAAACTTTGTAGTACTCTCTTAATAACCTTATTATTATACAACTTTTTTTTCTCAGGAATACAGCATGGGAATGCCAAAATCCAAATGTTTAGAACAGATTTAGCGAACTTCTCCGTGTGGGATCCAGGCAAACCCTGGTGGTAGCCATGTTTATTTTTAATATTAGAGAGCGCTTACGCGTGTATTGGTTCCATATTTGTAATTCACGTTTCCTAATATGGTAGTATGAAAATACCCAGTGTAATACCGGAAAATTACGGTACGCTGCAACTGTACTGGCGTTCCGGTGGCAGATGTCTAATGATAAGTTATCATGTTGTTATAGCAATCATATCCACAAAGGAGTTGCCTGTGAGAATTTTGTTATCACTTTACATCTTTTCTCTGTTTGTAGCAATAATATAATGAGATATCAGCCAAGAACGCATTCAGTGATAAGATTCTATTTCCATTGCACTATAGCACTTTTGCATCCAATGTAAACAAACGGATGCGATGTCAACAGCCTGGAACTCACTCAATTTTTGTGATGTAGTTCACCTCATATCACGATAAATTGAAACATCAGAACAGAACAGATACATTTTAGAATATAGTAGATATCGAGAATATTTGGTAATTTGGGTGTTATGTAACTATTCAAAATAGCTAGACATTTTGAACAATGGCTCCTTATCGATAGCATAAAAGCACAGATAGAGGGACTGGGATAGAAGTAAATATTTAAATGTATAGGTAGAATATAAGAACTAGACTTGCTTGCATACAGACTGTTTTTTTGAGGATGTTTTTTTAAATAAAATAAAATATGGGAGTGTATAAATGTTGAAAGCTGGGCCACCAGGAAATAAACAAGTCATGTGACCCTTGCAAGGGTTGCCATGCAATTAATGACAATTTCAATGACATCATAGAATTTGATGGGCAGAGCATGCATACATATAAGTTTGCATTCTTTCAAGATGGCCGTGAATAGCAAACAAGCGATATCTAGCACACCCACAAAAAACAAGCTTCACAACTGTCATCAAGAACTCAGCTATGCATTTGCATTGTATCTGGGTCGAAAATACAAAAATCAGATAACCATAGAAGACTGCTGAAAGCTGGGCAGAAGAAGCATAACTGTCAGGAAATTAGTGGTAACCCGGCTTTCGCAGTAACAGTTTTCGCCATTTACACAGTCCCATGATATATTATTTTAATTTATTGAAGAAAAAAAACACCAAAAAATATACAAGAGACTGTATGCAAGGGTACATAAGAATGTAAGAACGCACACAACAACTAAAAAATGGAATCACTAAAAGATCCCACAATAGAACATGCACTAGTAGTACATTGACACTGCAGGTCAGCGTCTTCTACACCGATCTGATGCATAATACGCAACGAGTTTGTTCGAACTTTGAACATTTCGGTGCTGAGAGGCACTTCCTGTGACAACACAATGCTGGTAGTATTTATTTACTACATTTTAGAATGAATGCAGTAAAGCTTTCACTGGGCAGTAAATTCTATTGCTTTTAATGCTAGATACAGATAAAAATGTGAGAATATCTTACCATTATAGACCATCTGAAAGTTCACTGGATCACCGTCATATAAAGTTGTTAGATGTTTCATAGCAATTATCAAACACAACTCAAGAACGGACACTCCTACAATGGGAGAAAGAAGTAATGTCAGATATTCAAGATACTGCAGTTAATACTCTGCATACAAATAGTAACCATGATGCTTTGCAGTCTAAAAAGCACTAACAATTTGTCATTGCTAGAAATTTTCATGATTTAATTATTTTATCACAAATATGGCCAAATATTGAATCAGATAAATTCTTTTTATGATAGGTCATTGGTGTAGAATAAAGATGTACAGTTTGACACACACATCCATTTTGAATACAGTGTTTGCTATTATGGTTTCCATCACTCATGTAAAAGACAATGGTGGTCAAAATTAGTCAAACATTAATACAATGCATGCAAATGTGCTTCTATAGAGAAAATACTGTATACCGTAGTATGCAATGTGAATTCCAGTTTATATGGACTTCTATTGGAAATGTGTTTCAAGCTACGTCACTGGTAAATAATGTTTAAAATTACAAGTAAAGCCGAAACCAAAGCATTTCCACTGTACTCGTATATAACCCTGAAGTATCCCATCCATAGCCCCCAGAACTGTGTAATCCTAATTATTACAATCATGAACTGTGCAATTAACATATTGAAAACCATAGGCAGCTGGATGGCGGCCCATAACACATGCCGTGACATTCATGTGACTAACACACACCCGGAGATGTCAGTGACAGTTCCCATGGCTAAAAACCCAATTGAAATTTACACTGCTACCGGATATTTGTTCAAATTTGTATACATATTCACTATTACTAAAATAAATCTAATACACCATAAATGATTTTTTGGTGACTACGGACTGAACTCACCATGTAGCATGGCTGCTTTGGAATCCATGGTTAAGTACTGGCAGGATTCAAGCAGGTCTGTGCTACGTATAAAAGGGTGATCTTCACTCAATCTACAAACTGGGAGTAGCTTTGAATAAAAAAAATGCTTGCAATGAATAAATCAAAGAAATCTTAGAAAGAACTCCTGTATGCTGAGAGTATTGGAGACATATAAAAAAATGTATTACCCTTCCAAACAAGCTTTGCAACTAATATTTATCTGCTATTTGAGATCATGAAAACAATGTGATTCATGTTATTGAAGTTTATTAAACTAATATAACGCTACATCATTCTGTGGTTTTCAGTCTAATTTATTCCAGAGCACCTCTACCACAAGTTCAATTTAAATCTTATTTTTTGAGAAACCAGAAATTGGCTAATAATAATTAGGTCTGTGGATTATCCCAGAGCATGTACATGTATGAATCAAATTTCAATGCAATATGATAATTATGCAATTAGTATGCTCAAATTTCAATCCAAAACTAATGCATTGTTCCTACTTACTTATATACCAAGTCTTATTGAAAAGCAATTATTGTTTTTTTGTCAAAAAAAAAAAAATGGGTAATTATTATGCAAAGATTTCAACCCCAAACTAATTAGGACTGTGTATTGTTCTAGGGCACATATGTACAAAGTTTCATGATAAAGCAATGGTTAATTCTTATGCAAATTAAGTAATCATTATGGATGTATACAAACCAAAAACTAATTAATACATTGTCTCAAGTGTATTTACATATGAAGGTTCATTGGGAAAAAAAATAAGTTTCATTGAAATTTGATTCATTCATTATGCAAATTAGGTAATTAATATGCACAGATATAAAGCCAAAACTTATTAGGTCTGTGCATATGTCCTATGACATCTATGTACCAAGTTTCATTGTAATGTGATGATTAGTATTTGAGATCTCAGTGGAAAAGCCAAAAATTGACTAATTATTATGCAAATAATTTGGTATTAATATGCACAGACTTTTATTCATAACTAATTAGGTCTGTGTATAGTCCTAGACCAATTATGTACAAAGTTTCAATGAAATGTAATAATTAGTACATGAAAATCAGTAAAGCAAAAAAATGAATAAATATGCAAAACTTATCAGGTGTGCTCATTGTCTCATGACATCTATGTACCAAATTTCATTGCAATGTGATGATTAGTACATGTACTTGAGATATCAGTGGAAAAACTGAAAACTGACTAATCATTATGCAGATTAGGTAATTAGTATGCATGGGTTTTTACACCAAGCTACATGTAATCAGGTTTGTGGATTGTACCAAGTTTCATCAAAATCCAAAATAAATTCAAAGTGAATATAAAGTATTTTACAGCACTTGACTGTATTACATGTATATCTAGTGTGAAACCATATTTCAAGTCAATCTTACCAATAGACGTTTCAGAGCTCCAATACTTTTATTATTTTGATATATTCTTCTTAAGACATCAATTGTAATATTATCGTCATTCAGCGACTGTGCACATAAAAACATAATAGTTTTATTATTAACAAGTGGTAGTGAAATTCATCACTACATTCTGCAGCAGTGTGACCTCTATGTCGGCATTATGCGCCACTGAAGATAATCAACTAGCACATCAGTGGTGCAACAGAAAATCTAACATTAATATAACAAGATAACAAAATTTGGCTGAATTCATCGTTTTTGTGTGGAAAAATCCCTTAAATACGAACACCTCTTAATACACGAAGAACATAGAACACTTTTCTGGGGTATTTTAAACCGAAATTGTCATCTAACTGGAAGGCCGTCGCTGATTGGCTGCTGAGCTGGAATGACAATTTTTGGTTTTTGTTCTTCGTGTAATTAGGTGTTTATATACACACAAAAACGACAAATTTGGCCAAATTTTGTTATCTGTTGGCTTAATATTACCCCAACAGATCATATTTCTGTGAAAGATTGGCATTTGGAAACTGAAAAATGTGTTTCACAACTTGTATCTTATTTAGTTTTATGCCGCATTCAAGATGGCAGCCCCAATATAGTAAAATGGCTGACTGTGTGTCTAATGTATGTTATAAGTTTTAACGAAATCTATCCAGAAATGCTTGACATAATGATTTTTTAGCACAAAAATGGTCACCATTCAGCCACTTTGAATAGGATCGTTAAACCAATATATCTGTATATCTATAACATGATGTACAATGAATATTTAAAATTAAATTTGAATACAATCAGTCAAAATAAGTCAGAGATATGGCTCAAGAAGCCTTTTTATGAAAACAAAATGGCCACCATTCGGCCATTTTGAATAGGATAGTCAAACCAATATATATCTATGACATGATGTATAATGAATATTTAAAATTTGATTATAGTCAGAGATATGGCACTAGAACCACATTAATTAAAACAAAATGGCCTCCAGTCGGCCATTTTGAATCTTATTTGAAAAACAAAATGATTTGCATCAAGGTCCCATAATGTCTAATGTATATACCAAGTTTGAACAAAATCCATCTGTAAACAGCCGAGAAATGCTTGATTTTGTTGATTTTTCAGTACAAAAATGGTTACCATTTGGCCATCTTGAATCAGATCGTGAAACAAATTTATGTGCATATGTATAATATTATGTATGATGTATGTGTGAAGTTTGAATGTAATTGGGACAGACATGTCTAAGATAACAGGTGCGGACGCACACATGCACGAATGCATGGACGCACAGAGGTCAATCCATAAGTCCCAGTTTTCGGACTGCGTCCGAACGGGGACTAATAAAAGTAAAAAAAACAAGTCAACAGTACCTGGATATGTGAATTCCATTCTTTAGTGAAATTCTTATCAGGAAATGTTTTCGGCAAACTAAGAATATCGAGGAATGCATCAATGTATTCGTCAAATGATAGTGAACTGAAGATATGAATTTGTCGATGTGAAAAACGTGATTTCACTCTCTTCTCCAACAACTCAATAACATCCTGTCAAAATGAAAATATATTCAAGATGATCACACACCATTAAAACATCATTGAGAGAAATTGACTGAAAGACTTTTGGTTTTGTACAACAAACAAACGCTGAAATGTTCAAAAAATTACATTCATCCATTTAATAATATTTACACCGTAAATTCTCATGGTAGGTAAATAATATAGTTATAAAATGTGTGCATTTTTTGTGAACATTTCTGTTTCCACTTTTCCGTTTCAGTGTTGTGGAAATCACTGACGAAGAACTCATTTCAAACCTTTACTTTCCCAAAATTTTCCTCATAATATGGCACAAGTTGCAAGAAAACTGTCATTTGAATAATTTTTTGAGGAGGGTGCTCAACTAAATAATTGTTTGAGCAGAGTAACTTGGGTGCTAAGTTAGATGAGTACAGTATCCTCCACAACTGGAATTTTACATTCAACTATGGTGAATTTGTTAAATTTGTAAAAATTGTAAATGGTATTTAAAAAGGAGATTTACCAGTCTACAGGTCAATCCGAATACAGCGATTGGGGTCTGAGCAGACTGAGATATGTCAAATAAATTATAGAGTAACGTCTGGTTTTTATGATGTGCAAATAAATCAAATTCATCCAGAATAAATAAAACAGGTCTTGAAGTCTTCTTGTCACCTGTCAAATAAAAACACAAGACATGATTACAAGATGTTACTAAAAATAGAAATTTTGTAAACGTAGATTATTGAAGCATGGGAATGGCATAAAAATAAATGATGCATGCTGGGAAGGTGCTTGGTTTCATCTGGGTCTGTTATGGAACATTGATTTTGAGATATTATGCTAACGGGAAATAATTCACACATGCTATGCAGTACCCATAATGCATTATGGTATCTGTGCCCATCTATTGTCTGCACACATAAATGTTTGCACATAAAGCAAGTCACAAACATCTGATGCAGGTTTAGTTGTGAAACAAAAATTCTACAGAATTATTTAGATTCAGGGCTTTCCTTTTATTTCAACAACTGAAATTACATTACTCCGTAAAACAAACAGCCACATGGCAAAAAGCAATCCTTAAATTTATAAAATTCACTGTACAACCACTATCATCTCATTTGCATGATTGGCAGAACTAGTCCTTACTACAGTATTTACTCCATGGAACCCATCTGCAGCTGAGATGTATGAAGACTACAATAATTTTGTGTGATTGCAGATACACCATAGTGATTCTAATGATTAAGATTTCTGCTATATAATTCTAATTAGGAAATAAACACTAATGATATTAAAATGGCTACCATTCCACCGTCTTTGTTCATAGTACAATGCATGTGCATGTGTCAGATATAATGTCTATGTGTGAAGTTTTTACTAAATTAGTCCAAGTATTTTTGAGATATGGCTAGATACAGACAGACTAACAGGCATGCACGCACACACACATGTTTGGATGCACAGAGGTCGACCATAAGTCCCCCTTTTCAGACTTCCAACAAAGACTTACAAAGAAGCTCTTCTTCAATTTCAATACAAATTCTACAAAGATGCACTCCAGAGGAAATTAGTCATGATCATTTCGCTGGATTAGATCATGGTGATTCATCTAAGAGATGAGATGGTTAACACCATAAGACAAGAAGACACTAGCACTTATCCATTAATGATGACTTTTTTAACTGATTATTCATGTAAATGCTTCTAATAAAACACAGGAATTTGTTTCTTGGTAAATACAACAATTTAGTTGAACTTACCACTCTTCAAAGCTTCAAGCAAAAATGACAGTGTTTCAGCAAAAGAACCCTGTAAAAAAAAAAAATTTGTTCTTTTAATTTTTCATGATTTAATAATCTTAATGCCATCTAATATGTTAACGTTGCTCAATACACTTTCCAGAATGTGGTGAGTTCATAGTGAATGCATAAGAGTTTTCTCATGAAACCACATTCCATTGTCCATGTATTAGCATATGGCAAATGATGTCACGTTCATCTGAAAAAAAAAAAATTCACATATGACCTTGTATAGCAATAAGCAACCTATTCACAATATACAAAACGATTCTAAATACTTCCATTCAACCATATTGAGCAACAATCAAGAAAAATAATTGCAGCAACTTTTACCATTAAGCATTAGATTAATTTTAAGCTAGCGTACTTCCCTGATCATAAGCCCCTCCCAAACGAACAATATAATTTGGATAATTTTTGTGGGTGGTCAGATGGTTACAATGTTGAACCACAAAAAAAAACATCTTTTCTGAGGTGGTATTCGAGTATAAAAACCCAACCCCATACTTTCCCTTACTATTTTTGTTGGTTACATCTCAATAAATTAATACTACATGCAAGAAAAGACGTAAACATGTATAAGGTTATCACAAGAATACGGCAAAGTAAGCACTCAGGCAGTACAGAGTTGCACTATGTGTCAATAAGATCATCATACAAAATGCCAGATGCCTCAACCAACCACCACATAATTTAATTTAAGTTTTTGTTTCTTTATCTTCAAATGCTTGTTATCACTTGTTACAGTTGTTTTTTGTTACTTAATTGTATTCCCAACAAAGATCCCGCTCTCAATTCCAGTTTCAATAAAGAATATTATTATACATCTGTCATCGCAACGCCATAAGTTTACGGTATTTTACAAGATATTTCCATCCTACCATATTAGGAAACACGATTTTAAATATGGAACGATTACGCACGTAACCTTCCTCTAATAATAAAAGCAAACATGGCTGTCCCTAGGTTTTGACCGTACCCCACACAAAAAAGTTTGCTATATCTGTTCTAAACATTTTTGATTTTGGCATTCCTATGATGTATCCCTGGGAGGAAAAGATGTATAATAATAAGATTATTACGAGGATACTGCAAAGTATGCACTCAGACAGGAAGTGGTCGCATTGACCTCCACTGCGCGTCAGTCGATATTCCCACTGTACTGTCTTTGTGCATACTTTGCAGTATCCTTGTAATAACCTAATAATATTATTATTACTTACATGTATTCTAGAAATGTTATTCAATTAATTCAACAACAGTTAACAACAATAAAATTGCTGAACAAGAGCTAGTTTTTGAGAAAATGACATGTTTTCACTAATATATGTAGCATCAATATTTCATCTTGTTCAAAAATTGAAGCTAATGTCCCTTTAAGTAAAACAGCACATGTACTTACAAATACTTTATCTCCCACTGTGTTTTCAAGTTGTAATTGTCTGGTGATTTCCTTTAATGCTACCTTATCATCAGTCTGCAACAAACCGTTTAGATGAACTTCTAGTAAATTATCCTGAACATTATCTTCTAACTTGACTTCTTCCAAAATGCTCTTCAAAATCTGAGAAAAATAAATTTGGAGAAATCATATTATAGTTTTTTCTTGATACATGTATGACCACATTGCACAATAATTATGTATATACGGGCATTAAAAAGAATAAGAATGAGAACTTGTAAATAATAATATAATGTAGAATATATGTGAACATATCCCCCTCCCCCAACTAATGCATTGTACAGAACAGTGTCAGTTAATTCATTAAGTTATTGGGGGGGGGGGTTAAATGTAGCATGGAGCTCCATGCGTGTGACTTGGCAGAGACTGACTTGTTTGCTTGTTCATGGTATTTCCGCTTGGAATTTATTTTCACTATTTGAGCTGATGTTTCCGTGAAAATAAAATCCAGTGAATACACGTTTTTTTTCTATAATTCACATTCTACTCATCAAAAATCAGTGAAAATAAATCCCATACAAAACACCCCAAATAGCTTTTCAGCAAAAAATAATTCCGGCTAAAATAAAGTATTTTACAGTACTCATTTTGAGAGTAGACAGTCACATTGTTCACCTTCACATATTGATATCCAATCTGAGAGGGTTGATACTTTGAGAGTACATGTACATGTATTATAGTTCCATAGAGTTACATGTACATGTACAGTATTAGCTCTATTAGCAGTATGTACATTTTGGTGAATGGCAGAAGAATGTCCATACAATAAATGCACTTCAGGGTTGCTAGTGTGCGTTTCTATTTGAGTTTTTAATAAAGTAAATACAGTATATACATCATCTTGGGAGGGGGGGATGTAGAATTTTATGCAGAAATAGAAGTCATTCACGTAGATGATTGCACTAATGCTTTTATGATAGCTAAAATTGGAATTACACTTATATGCAATGAACACATATCTTACCATACTCTTACCACTACCTCTTGGTCCAATGATGATGGCAGAGTTACTCTCACCCATGTTAACGCATCGCTTAATAATATCAAGAAGATGTCTAGAAAAGCAATAATATTGCATACAAAGTGAATGACACACTGTAAACCACTTGACATTCGCTGCTAGGATTTTGCACGATATGATTTTTTGGCATTTGTGAAAACAACATTCGCGAAAGATGCCATTAGTTCAGTTGCAGGACACCAGAGAAAATTTTCAATTTTCACAAGTTTTACTGACTCGTTAACAAATAATCTTATAATTTAAAATATTGGAATAAATTATCCTACGCATCCTATTTTACATCAGTGCTAAATTATCAGATGGCAGCAAACTGGAAACCCTATTTGAAGAAATTTAGCTCCAATAAGTTTTCTACTTCAGTACGTACCTTTCATTCTTAACATTGTATTTCTACTTTCCAAACCTGTGAGGTACTAGGCCTACATATAGTGCAGTGTTGATTGGAGACTAACTAATGTGGTCGGGAGGTGTGTGGGGTGTCGCCTGTCTGTATCATGATACTAGACTATGCGTGAATTCCCTCCCCTTGACACACAGACCATTTATGCAAGGTTAGTGAGGTACTATTCCCTATTTCAACATATAACTTTTTTAAAACTAAAATTGCATCATCTTAACCTCTGTTATGTTTTAGCTTATTCTGTTGCACATATATACAAAGTTAGCTGCAGTTCTGTAGCTCCCTGGTTTTCGCATTAACATCACGACCGGTCCTACTATTTAACGCCCGGACACGCGAGGGAGTGTCCGGGCACGCGCGGAGGCGAACAGGGGGGAATACCTAACGCGCGGGGCAGCGGGCGTTAAATAGTAGGACCCATCACGACAAACGAAATAACCGACAGCGGATACACCAAGCTAGCTACAGAACTGCAGCTAATACAAAGTGGGAATGCATCTAGAACTTCAAGCTTATACACGTACTAAAGCATATATGCATAAAGCGCGGTGGTCATTGCGCAGCGCGTGTTTGAATTTCATGTAAACGAACAAAGTATTTCACACGCGTTGCATACGTCGCTATGATATACGAGTCCCATATCGAACAGGATCTGCGGCGTGACCGCCCTTTAAACTATGATTGAGGTGAATAGTGCTAGTATGTCAAAACAACAGTTACACCTACCTTCTTTGGGTTTCCAGTCCAAATACTTGAGTAGTCACACTATCGTGACTAAGTTTCTCTCGTAGTAATCGCTGGACTTCATCAATACATTCACCTGTTGTAAGTTTTAGTGTAGATTTCCTTCTGCTCATAGTGTGAATGAATGCCAAACAATTGTCAAAGTTCAAGTTAATAGGCCACCAGCAACACTGCAGATTAACGATTTTAGGAGAAGCAATTCCAAAGGTGTTCAATCAATGTATTTGGAGAACCAGCTGTTGATATTAAACTGACAATGAAACTTGTAATCGTCCACGATCCTGAACAGACAGTATCTTCCTCCGGAAAACAACAAACTCACATTTTCGTTAAGCGCGCCGCCATCTTGCAACTTTGCAATTTCTAGCACAGGATTCGATATATTTTTTGTTGAAAGCATTTTATCAAAAAAGGACACGTAAATAATAACGTTAACTGAAATTACCATAACCACATATTCCAAGGCTAGAAAATTATTACGGGTATATAAAAATATAAAATTAATATTAACTTCAAGGTCTGAATTCCCTCTACCGAACAATATGTAAGTGATTTTGTTTTTCTTCTGTTTTATTTCTCAGTCGCTGGGGGCGCTGCTGAAATGAGTACTAGTATATGGCTCTGTCGATTTCCAGTCTATCTCTATCGCGCGGACAGTCGTTGACGTTCATGGTTGTCAAGCTGTCTCAACGTATTTGCTGTTATACTGCGGGACACAGGAGACTGGGACCTAGTCTAGAGTAAAATTCATTTATAATAATATGTATGTGTACTAATATTACGTATATATTGACAATTCACATCGGTGCATTGGAAGCGTGCATGTGCAGTCACGGTAAATTAGCCGAATTTTAAGGCAAACGTTTGCCAGAAAAAAATTGTTTCGAGGCAAACAATACATATTTGTGGATCATTTGGTATATTTAATTTGTTCTGTTGTGAGTCGAGGAATATATTTCTCTGCCTAATCAATGCAGATACTTTCATGTGCGGCAAAGAAAGAGGGCGTAACTCAGTGACGTTTTATTTTTATTTTAAATTCAAAACATTGCAATAATAAACTACATAACTGTAAAATGCTTACACAATTTCACTATATGCACATGAAAATTAACTCCTAGGAATTTACGAGATTATTTAATGTTTTATGTGTTTAGTGACATTTGCTGATTTGAGATAATTTGTTACACATCAACACATAAACAAGTTTTTTTTTTCAAACTTAATTAATTTTATTTATTTATAACTAAATAGAACTGCTGTTTGTTTGCCTTAATGGTGGTCTGAATTGATTGATTGTTATGTCTTATAAAAATGCACTTGAACTCCATCTTATTTGTGTGTCAATGGTTAACCTTTAATTTGTATTTACATAATAATATACACTAACACTGGCAGGTGCAGAGTTTTCCCTAATCTGAGTCATTCCGTAGACAATATTTAAAAAAAATCAAAAACATAATTATCATGTTCTACAGTTGCACTGGTCAATAAATTGTCCTTTTTCATAGATAGTTTGTTGCTGAGTTTTGAAATACAATGCCTTTGTTATCCGAATTATAGCCAGTCGGGATGATATACTCTAGTATACATGTTAGTACGTCCATACACGGAAGTAAAAATAGTCCCATAGTCCATGATAGTACTAGGTACTGGGGTTGAAAACACAAAACAGTCTCTTGTAGAATTTCAAGCCGGAAATACTCTGAGGAAATAATTCAGTGCGAATCACGGGTTACGGGTGGTTTTGATTGTGATAGCAGACAGCTAATTCTTTATTCGAATATGTCATCACATCCTATTTTATCGCTCCATTAATTTTGATAAATTATGACAATCCATGTTGTATAATGATTTAGAAAACTACGTCTTACACATAAATCATATCATGATGTGAAACACGGTCGGATCTGCAAATATCACGTGATCGAAACTCGAGTTTATTGTAACCATATTGTGTTTACCCCTCGCTGTGCGTGGTTCCGGACACTTAGCTCAGATTAAAAAGTTCAAACACAATTTTGTTTTTATTCCAATTTTCCCGTAACCGTGTCGATGGAAAATCAAAAACATTTTTTGCATTTGGTCTTATGAATTACAGATACCAATTGTGCTAACTTAATACTGGGTAAGATTTCTCGATTATCTTCTAAAATATATCACATTTGTATATTTCCTTAATATTACGTAATTATTAATTTTGATACAGTTATTTTTAACCAACATTACACATTTTAGGATAAAAATCTGAGTGATGTGACATTCAGTTGAACATGGCCTTTATAAAGGTCACAGTATCCTGATACTTAATTTAGGGGTAAACGTATTTTGTCCTTTCTCTAAAAATGTGTCATTTTATTTATATATTTTCGTATTTTTTTTCTGTAGATTTCATTTTCTAAAGTTTTAATACTGTGCGGACCCCCATTATTCCTTCGAAGTAAATAACGTTCCCCTAATAACTCTTGTTATCTTTGCTCGTTGCTGGGCCGCGTACACGATTGGTTCATTTTGTATTGTTTCGTCAACTTCATGACAAAATATACAAAACCTGCTATCACATTTTAAAGGTTTAATTCGATTTATTTAGTGTGGAGTTTAAACTGTATAGTTTTGTGAAATAATTTGATGAACAAATAAAAGTAAGTTTTAAAAAAAGTTTGGTTTCTCCAGTCTCCTAGAACTTTTTTCGCGATTATTATCATGGTTGGCGGCCATTTGTCGTACTTAGATGCTTTAACCAGTGGTTAATATGGTACAGTTATTAACTGTTGGCTGGTTATATATGGTAATAGATGGTACATTTTTTAGTGATAAACATTCTATTTTGTTTTATTCATGAGTTCTATGCAACTTTTCTAAAAAATGGCATTTTTTTTAAATAAATATTTGGCGAATGTTTTAAACTGCCGTGCTGTAACCCATAACAACATACTGTTTCACGGAAATATAACTGTATCGTTGTAATGATAAACCGATTGCGATTCACCGCCAACTTTCTGTTAAAACGAGACGATTTGGGCGAGGTATTACACCATGGTATACTAGTATATGACGTCATTCGTGTCATGTGATACCAGGCGACGGTATCTTTTCGTATTATCGTCGTGCCACACTACAAAACACTGATTCATCGGAGATACATAATTGGACAGAGATGCGTCGATGGCGGTCACGTGTCAAGTCACATTTCCAATAAATTATTAAAACTGTTTACCTGTTGACATGTATTGTTTGATTGATTTATGTATTTATTTATTTATTCAAACGTTAACTACATTAACAGTACTTGAACTTGGGCCGATTAAAGAGTTACACATAAACACAGTCAATGGTCTGTGATATAAAGCGATTGTACCACGGGGATTGAACAGTACATAACACGGTACACGTTACCGACGAAACATGGTTGAGGTACTACTAAAGTACGTTCCCCGACCCGTAACTTTTGTATGTCCGACCTCGAGACTATTTACTACTTTGGCATTTCTATTTTAGTCGATTTCCTAGAAGAACACCCACCCATTTTTTACACTGAAACTACTTCCCCATTCGAATCGTAATGCCCTCAGCTAGGTACCTATGTATCACGTGGCTGATAGATATGCCATGGCATCATCCGACATGGAGGCAATCTCATTCTATTTCCTGGAAAAAACACGATATTGCATACAACTTGAAGACGCCCCTGGATGACGTCACGGTACATTGGATTGCATGCAGACTGGGTTTCCCAACACACGCCAACATAAACATCTTGACCAAAAATAACCGTTTTTTTTTTTTACTGCGAACCTCTCCCTTCACACATAAACGAACAATTACCCGTGGGTCCACTCAGGGAGTCCCTTCAATAGGTTAGTGTGGGCCTATTGCTCTATGGGTGTTAAAAAGATCACCATATTTTCTTACTGAGAATTAATTGACCACTACAGAATGGCTGTATTTATGCTGTTGGTCAACAAATTAAACGAACATAAAACATGAAAAAAGTATAGTCACCCGTCCCGACTAATAGAGAAAAAAGTACAACAACCCATCATTGCAATTAATTCAATACGATATAAAAGTCAGAGGCAGTCTACAAAATGACGCGGACACATCATACATGAACGCACCGCTGAACTGCAAGAATGAAAAATGAACATACCTGAATGATATATGAATAGTACACGATGTATCTGTACGTTTTTTATATCATTGATTCAACTGTTAACTCAACTTACAAAAATTAATCCACCCACTATTATATTTTTGTGAGTTTTGTACTGTGATTTTCTTCGCTGTGAATTTTGTCCTTGGAATTTTACTAACTGTAACCCTTTTTCTGAATTGATTATTATTATTTCGTTTCGCGAAGCCCAGTGATTTCATTCTCATGCATGTGTCCATACATTTGCATAGGAGCGACAGACTCGGACCTTCGTAACTGGTGGGATCACTTGTATTATTTACTAAATGTAGGTATGTGAGGCACTGACTTTTGGCGAAAATCGCGGTTCGGCAGACTACACACATCAAGAATTCACCCCTTGAAACACATTTAGAAAAAGAAAACCCCACCCTTTACTAAAATGGACCTACCATTACCACATATTATATCAACACAGCAAAAATGCGACCACTTTGATTTCTGAAAATGCTAAAAAGGGACACCTTGATTATAGAAAAAGAAAAAATGGGTCCCCCTAAGGTGTCAATTTCTAACAAGTTTCTACTAGCGAACCCCTGGCCCTCGTGTGAACTGTTCTGGAGCCTTATTTATTTGCGTACTTCCCTGTCGTATTTTAAAACTATGTACGACATTGTATGTCAAACAAACGCCACATTAGTATGTCCGAATAATTATATAGTAGTTCCGTCCGGGGCAAACTCAGTGACTAGGACCTTCCTGGTTAATAAAGTTAATCTTTTAATCAATCACATATCAGATGACATCAACAGAGACCTTAATAAAAAAAAGCTGTTTAAGATATTTTTTTTCGAGACAGACATTTTGCAAATTATTAAAGGCAGTCGGAGACAGTATGTAAGGCGACATTTTGAAATTTCAGAACAAAATAATACATGCATAGTACAAATGCTATTCAAGTTTTCGCAATGAATTTATAACGAGTACAGGGGATTTTGTGTACAGAAAAGGTTAATTTTCAGGAAAGTTGCTGAGGTTAATGAATTATGGAGTGAAAATGTCTGTAAAAGTTTATAGGTCATTTGGGTGGGGTATGTGACAGGGTTCGGCACGAGAGGCGTTATTAGTCCACCGCTTTGTAACCACACTTGAAATTTGAACTGACTAGCGATAATGTGTTAT